CAGAGGGTGCAGACGGCGCTCCTTTTCGCGCTCGGCGCGCTCGGCGGCCGGGCACATATCCGGGCAGACGCCCAGGGGTAGCTCAAAGCCGGGCATGGTGGGCTGCAGGAAGAGGGTGGGCGCTCAGCGACCTGGAGCCGGACGCCCAGTTCTTCCGAAGGCGCAGCGGGTCCTCGGGCCCGCGAGAGACGTGGGGCCGGGGAGAGCCTAGCTGGGTGCGTCTTCTCACCCGGCCTCTCACGCCCGGTGGCCCTCTTAATCAGGCACTGATGAGCCAGTCTCCCGAGATGCAAAGCGGCGTAGTTCCGCAAGCTCAACCGAAGCTACGCTTCCTGACGTATCGGTTTGTAGTGCTCTCCACAACCAATTGCTTAAGCGAAGGGCGGGACAACGACAGGCCACGCCTTCTCGGAGGTGCTTAATTTTCGTTAGCAAGCTCTAGGACCTCCCAAATTTGTACACCTGGTTTCAGTTCCTCCTTTTTTTTCTGGTGAATCCAAGGCCTTTGCACTGTTATATTCTCCAATTCTTTTGTTGAGATAGGGTCTCACCAAATTGCCCAGGATGGGCTTGAATTTGTGATCTTCCGAACTCAGCCTCCCAGAGTGCTAGGATTATAGGCGTGCACCACCACGCCTGGTTTGGGTTTCTCCACATCCGTCACCCCAAAAAACTGGCTCATTGGCCTACCATCCTGTACTGTCGCCCTGAAGATATTCTTTCTAGATCAGAGGCCAATGAACTTTTCCTGCAGAGCCAGGTTGAAAATGTTTTGAAATCTGCAGGTCTCAATTACTCAACTTTAGTTGGAATGAGAATGCAGCCACAGACAATATTAAGCGAATAAACTTAGTTGCATTCTGACAAATTTTTATTCATACTTTCACCTGACACAGAATTTTTTTTCTTTCCCAACCATTAAAAAATGTAAAAAACATTCTAGCTCATGGGTCTTTAAAAAAAAGGCAGTTGGCCATATCTGACTGTAAGCTGCAGCCTGGAGACTGCAGTTCTCAGCTGGTAACTGATAGGTTAGTGGCTGGACGTGCTGCTGACACATCAAGATAGGGACAGGATCAGAAGTGTGGATCCTTGATTCCAAGGAGCCAGGCAGGCAGGGAGACAAGAGGTCATTACTTTCCTCATTCTTGGTCCAGTTACACACAGAAATGGCCCCTGGGGTTACAAGACCACGAGGTGGGGTCAGGCCCTGGGGACAGGAGAAGGGAGGCTGGCAGTGTTAAGAGCTGCAGTCCCTGGGAGGGTTACTTCCTCTCAGGGTGGCAGCTGGGACACATGCAGGTGCAAGATCTCCTCTGCTCTCTTCAGGTACTCAGCCGCCTTCTTCTTCACCCCTTCCCGGCGGGCAGGGGATGGGTCACCTGTGGAGAGCCTGGCTTAGCTGAGGAACATGGCCTAGCTACTTCAGAATGCCCGCTTGAGCCCTTGCAGTTCAGAGTATTACCAGGTGCCCCTTCGCTGGATTCTGGTGTCTTTTCTTCCACTGAGACCATAAGAAGTTACAAAAAAGATCCCTGCAAGATTACCTGGCTGGTCAGTCTGGAGCAAGGGCTCCTGGTTCGGTAAACCCTTTGTACCCCTCTGTAACCTCCCCATTTCATCTAGGGCTCCAGGCCTGCCTGTCCGCCCTCCTCTTCCCACTTACTGGGCACTCCCCGAAGCAAGATGTGCACGCCATCTCGATAAGCCTGGAGGGCAGCAGGGTAGGCGCCTGCCTTTTCATCCCGAAGGGCTTGGGTGATGAGCTCCGTGGCCTGACTCAGATAGGCAGGGGTGGGCCCTCTTTCCTCATCTTCTTCCTGTCCTCCTGGCTCCCAGGGTTCCTGGTCCAGCCTTTCGGACTCTACCTGCGTGGCTGCCAGCTCACCTACGTGGGTGGGACTGGGGCCTGCACCTTCTGCAATCAGACAGGGAGGACTCAGACTGGACTGGCCTTTCGTTTCCCTGGGCCCACTGCTAACCCCCAGATATCTCTCGCCCACTGGGGTACCAGTCTGTCCCTAGTAGAAGGGAGCAAAGCTTGGACAATCCAGAAGTCAGTTTTGTACAGAAACTAACTACAACCTCTTTGGTCGGTGGGGTTCAACTACTTTTTTCAGTCTTACCTTCCTAATTCTTTCTTTAGGGGAGAAATTTTCTTTAGTTTTGAGCTCTGGTCACTGCTCCTATTTCCTTCCTAACTCCAGTTGGCCTAGACATCCAAGAATTTCCATTTCAAAGTTCAACTTACGGATGCTACAACTGCCAAAGATAGAAATGCTCCAAGTCTTGGACTAATAGAACAATGAATTCAGGTAATTTCAGCTTTTTTTTTTTGGTTCCAGGGACTGAACTCAGGTCCTTGTGCTTGCAAGGCAGGTAGCGGAACCACTGAGCTAAATCCCCAGCTTTTTTTTTTTTTTTTTTAAAAACAAGGTTTTGCCATGTAGTTCAAGCTGGCCTTAAATTCACTATGTAGCCCAGGCTGGCCTCAAACATGCGATGATCCTCCCACCTCAGCCTTCCAAGTGCTGGGATTACAGACATGCACCACTATGCCCAGCTCAGCACTTTTTTTGCAGGACTGGGGATGGAACCTAGGGCCTTGCTAAGAAACAGCTCTACCACCAAGTTACACCCCAGCTCCTCAGGGCTCTTTTGAGATCTTGTACTTTCACCTAAAGATACCAAATGAGGGGCTCATCATATTCCCAGGTCTGGCTCAGAGGTGGCCAGACATCTTCCAGCAGCTCTCCCAAGAGCCCTTAGAGATTGGGTGAGTTTTTGAAAAGGCCTTTGACGGAAGGTACAGGAGCAGAGAGCACCATGGCAGCCCATACCAGAGAGGGAAGGGGTGGACAGCTTTCCAGCTTCATCAGACCAGGGGCCTCCTGCAGGTGGACAAGAGGATGTTTCCCTCCCAGCACGGGCAGTGAGCACAAATGTTGAGGGGCCCTGACTACTTGAGTACAGGAGCTTCCAGCAGAGCGGACAAGGACCTGGGAGTTTTCCCGTGAGCAGAAAGAATGACTCCTGGGCGCTACCTGGCAGGGTCTCACAAAACTCACAAGTCACTTCCCTCCGGTTTCCCTGGGGGGGGCTCAGCTGGATACCTATCACTTGGCAGGCAGGTACAACAGCCCCAGTGACAGCACTGTCAAACTCTTCCTTCCCTCCTCAGCCTGGAGTGGGAAGCTACAAAAGCAGGAGAGCAAGAAAAGTAGCAGGGACTGGGGATGTAGCTCAGGAGTCGCGCTCTTCCCTAGGCGTGTCCTGGATTCCATCCCCAGCACAGCAGACGAAGAAGATGAAGAGGGAAAAGGAGGGGACAGAGAAAGGGAAGAGGAAGAAGAGGAGGAAGAGAGGAGGAGGAGGAGGAAGAGAATGACTACGAAGAATAAGAAAGGAAAAGTAGCCAGGGCGTGGTGCTGGACCTGTGGTCCCAGCCACTCAGGAGGCTGAAGCAGAAGGATCACCTGAGCCCATGAGTTTGAAGTCAGCACAAGCAACTTAATGAGACTGTTTCAAAAAAAAAAAAAAGAGGCCTAGGGGTATGACTCAGTGACAGAATGCTTCCCAGGCATGTACAAGCCCCTGGGTCAAAGGTTGCGCCTCACACCCTGGTCACCAGGATCAGGAGCTGGGCCACTGGTCAGGCCTGAGCCAGTGAGGCTGCAGGTAGGATGGGAAACTAACATCCTGATTTGGACTGGCCAGGATTTTCCATCCCTGTGTGAGGCTTTGGAAAGCCCAGGTTGGTGGGGCAACAAAAAGGGCTTAGAAACACTCTTGAAGAATAATAAAAAGTAACTGTCTCATGATTTTCCTGAAGTGATGTCAATTGCTTTAATATCTGGGTTGCAGTTAGAGCATAAGTTTGGTGAATTTCAGACTGAAACATCCCAGTGTCTCTGACTGTCAGGTACAGGGAAGGTGCTCAGGTCCCTCATCTGCACAGGAAGCTCATCTGTCTCTAGTGACCCCTGGGCCAGCAGCGGCTCCAGGTCTAGAGAGAGGCTTCCTATGGCTGCAGTTCAAACCTCCCAGAGCAACAAGGGCCCTCCACCAGGGCGTTCCCAGCCCTGGGATGGGGCTGCGGCACCTGGGAATGAGCTTCTACTGTTCACTGAGGCAGCCCATTGCCTGCAGGCATTGTTGATCTACCCAGCTGCGATCCAGCCTCCCTCCCTGGCCCCAGGAGCACCTTCCCCTGCCTCTGCTCTGTGTACACCCACTGGTTACCTTCCTTGGAGAAGGGGTCAAAAAGGGCAAGCTCGGCCTCGGAGAGGGGACCCCTGGCAGGGGAGCCTGATGCCTCCTCCACGCTGCCACAGTTAAAGAGGAGATCCAGGGCCTCCTGTGCAGGGCTGGATGGTGTGGGGTCCGCTGAAGAGAGACCAGCAGGGACATGAGTGCTGTACTTACCACTTACCAGCTTTCAAACTGGAACCGCCTTCTCACTACGTCCATCAGCAACCACGGGCGTAGAGAAGCCTATTATTAGGATTTGTGTCGCTTTTACAGATCAAGAAACTAAAGCCCAGAGAAGGGAAAGAACCCATCCAAAGTTCTTCAGTGGGCGAATGGCAGGGCTGAGCCAGAGTTTTTTACTGAGATCACCGAGGAGGGAGTGTGACCCCGACACCCCACGCTGGGACACCTCCTTGGCCCACCCTGGGTCTGTGCACTGCGCCAATGTACCTGGCACCTCCAACTCCTCCAAGCCCCTCCTTTCTGCAGGGAGCAGCTGGGGGAGGCGGGGATCATCAGGGGGTGGAGTGGGGATCAGAGGGGGTGGCAGAATGTGCAGGTCCTTGGCTACCTCGTGGGGCCGCGTCACCTCCCCACCCTGCAGAAGAGAAAGGCCAGGCATCAGGGCTGCAGTGTGGCTGTCGGGCTTCCCAGGCTGGAAGGACAGGAGAGTGGCACTCGTACCCGGAAGAACTCCTTGAGCTGGGGGCTGTTGTTGAGAGCAGGGATGTGCACAGTGAAGCGAAGCAAGTCCTCGGCCGCCTTTCGCCGCTCCTCGATCACTGAGGCCTCGAACCGGCCTGCAGTCGTCCAGGACAGTGAGCAGGCAGACAACGGTGACCACAGCAACCTTCCTGACCTGCTTCTGCCTGGGACGCTGTACGTGACTCTCTGTGCAGCCTTCCCCGGCTCCTCCCGGAGGGACCCTCCCTTATTCACTCTTACCACAGAGGTTTAAGTAAGCACCTCCGGGCTGGGTTCAGGGATGGGCGAGAGGGAAGCACAACCTCTACCCTCAAGCATTTCCAGTCACAGGCAGGGAGAGGCAGAGAATCAACAAGAGAAGAAAATCACATCGTTTGGCTTTGATATAATGATGAGGACCGGACAGGACAGGAAGACTCCCAGGGGGGAAGTGACTTGCCTGAGGCCACAGAGACAGCGGCAGTTTCACTACTCAGTTTAGGAGCTGTGCAGAGAGGTCTGACCCTACCTCAGTCGCTGGTGCTGCCAGGGTGAGAAGCCTGCTGTTCTTCCCTCTGGCCTGGCATCAACTGCCAGCTGCAACCACTCACCTTGCTTCAAGACCACCTCATGTGAGTCTGGGTCTTGTGTAATTATAGGATTAATGGCTAATGGGTTATTTTGAGAGTGGGTGCACTATAAGAGTCAGTTTGGAGAGGTTTCTCATGTGTGCCGTGCCTCTGGTGGTCATGTGATACCCTGCACCTCTCGGGTCTGCAAGGAGGCCATCACCAGATGCTGCCCCTAGACCTTGGACCAGAACCACAATGCCAAAGTAAACCTCTTTTCTTTAGATTCCCCAGTCTGTGGTATTGTGTTATTATGGACCAAAAATGGACTAAGACACAGGCAAAAGCCCCTTATCTCAATACACATCAGTTTCCTCATTTTAAAAATGAGGCTAATAAGGAGCCGGGGATTTAGTTCTGTGGTAAGCTCAAGAACTGGAGTTCAATCCCCGGTACTGGGGGCCGGGGAGAAACGAGGCTAATAAAGCCAGGAATGCTCATGGTCCTAACACACAATGCGGGCTAGGCTGCGCAGAGCCTCAGTGCCCCATCTGTCCAATACGGCCAGCTCTCCAGCGTGGCTTTGCCCGGAGCTCCAGGCCCCCTTTCACCAGCCCCTGCCGGTCGCCTCGCCCTCACCTTGGGCCTGAGGGCTCAGCTCTGGCACTCACCGAACACCTGGGCACGGGGGAAGGCTGGGAACTCCTCAAGGCGGCGGAAGAGGTTGCGGTGGGTGTAGGCCAGGTCCCCGTGCAGCTTGCGGAAGTCACTGTACCGCTTCCAGACCACCACCTGTGGGGGATGCGAGGCTGGAGGGCGGAAGCACCTTCCTGAACCCACTTGTGCCCAGTCTGTGAGAAGAGGGTGCCACAAGAGGGGGATCCTCCCAGAGACCGGCTGCTCCTGTCCTGTTTCCAGACCTGAAATCGGGGATACAGTACCCCTCCCTCACAGGAGTCTTACCTCTTTGATATCCTCAGGGTTTTTCTTTGAGATGAACTGAAAAGGAAAAAGCAAGAGCCAGTGAGACCTGAGGCTGACTTCGGATCCTCCCTTCGCTCTGTGAAAGGTGATGAAGCCCCAGGGGCCTCCCAGTCCCCCCCAAAGGGACAGTGCCCTTTGGCATCCAGATGTCCTGGCTTTAAGGCTTTGAGTGTAACTTTGAGCAACTTTCTACTATGCACCTCAGTTTCTCAATCTGTTACATGGGAGGAGCCATAAAAGCCTGTCTAGAGCCCTCTATCCTCAACTTTGGTCCCACTTTCTTCAAAAGGCTAAGTGCTGGAATCTCCTAAAACCACAGAACCCCACATCCCCAAGGAAATGAGACTGTGTGCCAGGAGCCAGCCCTTCCCTGGGCTCAAACACCTTTGGATACAAAATCTACCACTGAGGTTGGCCAGCCTCGAAGACTCGGGTTCCATCTGGAAAGAAGACTCGGTTTTCACTGTTATTTTCATAATAATCTTTAAATTATGTTCTGGAGTACAGAGTACTTGGAGGTTTGCAAAACAGTGTTCCTTCTCCTAGATCCCAGTGAGGCACAAATGAAGACTATGGCTCTCTAATAGGTAAGAACGTGGCAGCTCAGAGTGGGGATGCGACCAGACAAGATCATACCTCAAGGAAGGGAGTGTGCTGGGGCTAAAACTCTAGTCTTGCTGGGGATTTGTCTCAGTGGTTCCACCAGCTGTCTCGCAAGCACAAGGTCCTGAGTTTGATCCCCGATACCAAAAAACAAACAAAAACCCTAGCCCTGGCTTTTGACAATAGGCATGCTTAAAATATTCAGGTAAAGAAACCCCCAAAACTGGCCAATCAGGATGTCACATAGCTGTAGCCCCAGCACTTTGTGAGGCCAAAGCAAGAGGACTGAAAGTTCAAGCCCAGCCTAGGCAACTTAGTGACTAAGCAAGGCATTATGTCCAAAGAAATAAAAGGGCTGGGGACTTAGCTCCGTGTGAGTCCTGGTTTTCATCCCCAGAACTACCAAAAATCCAGAAACAAGTTATATTTAAAAACCACTGAAGTACAAGGACCTGCCTTCATGAGTTCCAGGCCAGCCTGAACTACATAGTGAGACCCTGTCTCAAAAAACAAAGCAAAACAAAATCTGCTAACCACCCCCAGCAACCTTTTCCTCTCCTTGGAGGCCTCTATTGTTGCCAGTTCCTGAATATCATTCTACAGATACAACTTTATACTGCTTTAATTTTAATTTTTTCCATGTTTTCCTCCATGTCTCTATATACAGTGAGCTTGCAATACTTTTCTTTTTATTTTCTGACACAGGGTTGCCAATTGAGTTTAGAATATTATTCCAAACATCAATTCTGACTTTTACATACTGACTTCCTGCAACAATCATGAAGTTGGAGACTCATGTAAGTCCTTTCGGAAATGTATGAATTTTTACATAAAGCTACAAATCGGTATTATTTTTTAATCAAAGGTAAACTGTTGCCGCGCGTGGTGGCGCACGCCTGTAAACCCAGCACTCGGGAGGCTGAGGCAGGAGGACCACTGTGAGTTCGAGACCAGCCTGGGCTACTTAGTGAGTTCCAGGTCAGTCTCAACTACATAGTGAGACCCTGTCTCAAGAACCCCCCCCCCAAAAAAAGGTAAACTGTTTACAATGTTTTTATTTCCCCATTAAACAAACCAAAAAACTAAATTTATTCCAAGAGACAGAAAAGCTAATATTTGAATTAAGCGACAGTTTTTATGTCGAGCGTAGTAAATTCATAGACCCACGCACAGACGTCACACACCAGCTCGGTGGGGAGCGCCCACACCTGCCGGCCACGCGCGTTTAAAAAGTGCAAAGCCATACCGTGGCCCCACCCACAATGGCGAATCAGAAAGGAACGCTCCTCCCTCACGATCCCCTTAAAGGGGAAATGCATTTCTGTCGTCCAAAAAGGGAGCTTTCTGCGGTGCCCAGCCTCAAAGTAAAACACTGGGCCGTTTTCTTAAAAGGCCAAGGTCCCCTCTGGGCCCCACCTCACCTGCGCGGTGACTTTGTACTCCGTGTAGCCCTTGGGGTGGGTCCTGGGGTTGCAGACTGTGTAGCGCCGCAGGAAATCATCCTTCGCCTGGCGAGACATGACGGCGTAGGGGAGCAGCGCTGACCCCGGGACGCCGCCCTCGCCCCTCTGGTTCTGCCTCCGAGGGCCTGCGCCCTGCTTCTGCTGGCCCAGGGAGATGGACTCAAAAGATAATGCCGTCTTCTGTTCGGACGCACGGCCAAGGGAGCGTCTGAAAAGTTCCCTGTTGTTGGTAAAACGAAAATCTAGGCAATTTGAGAGTATCGGGGAGGTTCTGGCTACACTTTGCGGGCCAAGGGACCCATCCTATTCCAGGGTAAACCCTCCTCACACACCTTCAAATGACTTCTCCCCTACTTTGTTTCTTCCATCCATCCACCCAGCTTTTATTTATTTTATTTAAATTTATTTTATTTTATTTTTTGAACTGGAATTTTGCGATGTTGCCCAAATTGATCTTGAACGCCTGGGCTCAAGGGACCCTCCTGCCTCAGCCTCCTAAGTAGGTGGAATTACAGGCACGTGTCACTATGCCAAACTTTTTTGGTGTTCAATATGTCCCATACATAGCCAAATTATTTCCACATCTGCCTCCACAAGGTTCTCTAATTCATGTTTTCTGGAAGCACTGGGGAAGCAAAAAGGATGTTAGAGAAGCAGGATGGTGTCAGGGGCTCTGAAGTCACAACTCTTATTGACTCTCCGAGTTTCCTTTTAACTACATGCGCCTCGATTTCTCCTCAGAAGAATGGGATATTTGTAATACAGAAAAGAGTGGACGTGTCTGTCTCTCCCCTTTTCCTGGCAGCAGGAAGCGGGTGTGGTTTGGCCTACAGCTGCCACGCCCCACCCACTTACTTGAGCCTCCTCTTGCCCCTAAAATGGACTGGGATAACTTGCCGCAGTATCTTCTGCAGTCATTCAGCAGCCGCTCTCCTTCCAGACACTCCGACAGGAGGTGCAGTTTGGCCGTCAGCCACAGTACCCCTCTCCCACTCCTGCCGCTTCAGAGGCTGACATCCCTCTTTTGCGGGGAGGGCACCCTGACATGGCCAAAACCAGGGAGAAAGGGATCCAGGCCTACTATTAATATACCCAGCCTCCCTAACCCTCAGTAAACGGTGCTGAACACAGCTAGCCCTCTTGAAAATTCCTTTTGATCTGCCATTTGTTTGTGGAGATGTGACAGCTGTCAATCAAACAGTACTTGTCACCCCTACATTCTCTTGAACTGCTGCCTTGACAGCCGCAGCTCGCCCAGCCACCCTGCGTTCCCTTGTACCAATCACGGGCCTGCAGCTACTATATAAGCACTACCTCATTCTCCTTAGAGGGCCTCTTCTGCTGTACTGACCCCCGTGCTACTGCACAGGTCCTTCAAAATAAACTCTTATTTGGGTGGTCCCACAATCTGCATGGGATTTATTTCTCAGGTAGTGTGGGATCCGAAGAGCCTGTAGACCTATCCTGAGTAGTGCGACAGAATGGTTGCTTTGTTTTGTTTTGTTTGTTTGTTTTTGTTTTTTGAGAGAGGGTCTCACTATGTACTTGAGACTGACCTGGAATTCACTATGTAGCCCAGGCTGGTCTGGAACTCACAGCGATCCTCCTGCCTCAGCCTCCGGAGTGCTGTGATTACAGGCATGCATCACCACACCCGGCTTGTTTTGTTTTGTTTAAGAGTTAGTTTATCTTATTTTTATTTTTTTCTAGAATGGTTGCTTTAAAGGAAGAGTGGCTCTGCAGCCTGCTTTGCAAGCTCACGGTCATGAGTTCGATCCCTGGTACGGAAAAAAAAAAAAATGAGGAATAAGAAGTAGAGGCTTTGAGCCCTGAAGAGTTTTAGAGATTAGCAGCCAACAAAGATCAGCAACAATGTAGCAACCAGCAAAGTTGACTGATAGCTTGTAGCACAAGCTGGCATCAAACGGTGGCTGGCAGAGGCAGAGAGCAGCCCCTGGCAGTATTGACTGTTGGCATCCCACACTGACCCATGTTGACCAATAGCATCAAGCAGGACTGCACTTTGCCCATTCATGATTTCTATCTGAATCAAGCAAAAGAACCCTCAAGGAACTGGGGACAATAAAATCTGGGGCAGCAAATCTTTTTCTTTTTCTTTTCTTTGTTGGTGCACATTTCCCATATCTAATGAACACATTCACCATAGGGGATGAAGCTTTGTCCTACTGGGTTTGCTGCCAGAACCCCGGCATAGTGAAAACCACCATACATCAAAACCACAATGTGAAAGGAAGAGACCGATCTACATAGTCATCCCTGAACTTGTAGTTGTCAGGCCTGACTTAAATGAGTCTTTCCCAAACAAACAGGACAAAGCAAACGGGCTGCTCTCAGCAAATAACAGCAGCTTCTCAGTAAATAGAGCAAATGGACTCAAGAGGAAGTATGTAAGGCCCTGGTGCAGAGACGTCCAGTGCTTGTCTACACACCTGAGCAGACCATCCTTGAGCTCCAAGTCAGAAACATTTCACCACTGATCCTTAGCGCCTTCAATATCTGTATCAGCCCAATTCCTTTCTCAGTTAGTTGCTAATATCTCTTAGTGTTAGCCCATCCACCCACCCACAGATAAAATCTTTCTCAGCTAGCTGCTAGAATCTCCTGATTTTAGTGCCTGTTCACTGGCATAAACTTCTCTTTCAACAGCTGTTTTTTGCAGGGCATGTCTGTAATCACAGCACTCGGAAGGCTGAGGCAGGAGGATCACTGTGAGTTCAAGACCAGCCTGGGTTACATAGTGAATTCCAGGTCAGTCTCAACTACATAGTGAGACCCTGTCTCAAACAACAACAACAGCAACAAAAAAAGCTGTTTTTTTGACAAGTGGACTCGTGTGCTGTCTATAACATATTTGAGGCCAGCCTGGACTACTGGACTATCTAGCTAGACTATCTTAAAAAAAAAGAAAGAAAAGAAAAGAACCACTGAAAAGTTTAAGGCTTCTGAGATGGAAAAGGTCTCCTTCAACTGTGCTTGGGTCTTGGATAACCTGGAAGCCAGATGTGAGCCTGGCCGGTATGGTCACTGATATGTCTCTGTGAAAAAAAATTTTTGTGTTGTTGTTTTTTTGAGATAGGGTCTTACTATGTATCCCAGGCTAGCCTTGAACTTGTGGCAATCCTCCTGCCTCGGCCTCCTGAGTTCTGGGATTACATACATGTGCTACCACCCCCAGCTTTCTGTGAACAAATGAGAACAACAAATACGTAACTATTATTGACGCCCCAGGATGCAGACTTTGTAGCCCTGAGTACAGGCACCTCTAGGGCTGACTTCCATGTCCTGATAGTTGCTCTTTGTGTTGATGAATTTGAAGCTGGTATCGCCAAGAATGGGCGATGGGTATGTTCCAGTTTCCCCCAAAGTCTCGCATTTGCAAGGTGACTGGGTCATGGAGGCACAATGCAGCCCTGTGAGTGCATTAGCAGAGGGTGCTGTTAGGAGGCGTGACCCGGGAGAGCGCATTCTCATCTCCAGCGCCCCCTGCCAGTCTCTCTCTGCTTCTCTGCTTCCTGGTTTCCCGCGCCTTTTTTTCCAGGATGCCCCCTTGCCATCCTGTTTCTGCCTTGGAGCCAGTGACCATGGACTGAAACATGAGCTAAAATAAAACTCTCTTCCTGTAAATTGCAAGTGTTGGTATTTTGCCCCAGCAATGAGAAAGTGAGTAAGGCTGTGCAACAGCTGATTGTTGGCGTTAACTGGCTGGATTCCGCTGAGCCACCCTGCAGAGAGGAATCACAGAACGGTTGGGGAAGTCAGTGCCTACGCTAGGAATCTGCCACCACCCTGGTACAATAGCAACTGTAACAGGTTCTGGTTGTAGTGTGGACAACATGCTAGAGCAAGTGATCCAGTATCTTGGTTTAAGGGAAGGAAAGTCACTCATAAAAAGGTGACAGAGGAGGCTGAGGCAAGGCCAGCCTCAGCTACATAGTGAGTTCAAGGCCAACCTGAATTACATAAGGAGATCCTGTCTGTCTCCAAAAAAAAAAAAAAAATGTTGGAAATGAAGCAACTCATTAAAAAAAAAAAAGTGACAGAGGCCACATAGGGATGGATGGAAGACCAACAATCTCCTGGGCCCTTAACCCCTTACTCATTTAAATCATGATTTTTCTTTTGTGAAAGACAGGGGGTGGGTATGATGGCACATGCCTGTAATCCCAGCACTCCACTCAGACTGATGCAGGAGGATTGCCAAAAAAATTTTTTTTAAATAAAATAAAAGAGGAAAAAAGGATCCACAGGAACTTCAAAGGGGTTTTCCTAAAAACTATGACTCTTGCTGGATCTGGTGGCACACACCTATAATCCCAGCACTGGGGAGGCTGAGGCAGGAGGATTGCTGCGAGTTCAAAGCCAACCTGAACTATACAGCCAGACCTTGTCTCAAAAACCAAAAATGAACCAAAACAAAAGCATCCATGAGTTTTCATGGGCTTACAGGTAGGGTACTATAGGTAACTAGAAGTAGAACTGTGGGACTGCATTGTAATCTTAAATTAGCCCCAACTGTGATTAACTGTAACAAACATAGAGACCCGAAGTAAATCACTCCACTCCTTGTTTGCCCGTAACTGAATGTTCCGAACACCACAATCTGTGAAACAATGGGCAATCGATCTGCTGACCATCAGTACGTATCGGCCGAGTACAGGATTGATGACCACTTGCCTTTGTCCCCTTCCTGTAAGTTTTGAGTGTTAACTCCCCCCATAACCCCTTATAAAAACAGCCTAAGCCCCTGAGCTGATGCCTCTCTGAGCTGCTTGGCTCCGGGAGTGCCGTCTGGCCAGACTAATAAAGATCTGTTTTCCAACGAGTCCGGTGTGTTCCTTCCTGGGTGATTCTCGCTGCTCGTCAAGCTCCTGGAGCAATCGCTGGGCTAGAGGCCCAGCATCTTGGAGGCCCTCTGGCTGTTCAATCTCCTCAGAGTGGAAGTAAGGCCCTAGGTCTTACAGAAACCTTCGTTTTGTATCCTTATTACCTTGAAGCTCTGGATATAAGTATATGAATCATGCAAAACAAGATTTATTGGCCCTAAATCTGCCTAGCCCATGTCAACTCCCTTCACTAAGTGAGGACACCAAGGGATCTACAGAGCCAGTTAGCTGTGCCCTGAAGCCCCACTGCCCCAAACACAGAGTCACCTTGGGTTCCAGCAGAGTCTCATAAGGCTGAGACCACCCCAGGCAGAAACAGTCTATGGGGGCCAAATAGCCCGCAGGCTGTGGGATTCTTCCCCAGCTGTGCACAGCAGGGAGGGCCGAGTTAGTGACCCACACTCCTGGCCCACCTCAGCTAACCCCGGAGCTGGCCCCTGCTTTTTGTGAGTGACCGGGCTGAACCCCTGAGTCAGTGAGCTGCGCTGGCACGTCTAGCTGGAGCCTTTCCTAGTCTCCGTTGGCTAATTCTGCATGATAAACCTGCCTGATGAGGCCTGAAGTTCTTCTTCCTATTTTCCATTATGTGAATCAAGAATCTGCTGGGGAAATGGGGATTTAGCTCAGTGGTGCTGAGTGTGCCTTGCAAACACAAGGTCCTGAGGTTAATCCTTGATACCCCCCCAAAAAAAAGAAAAGAAAAGAAAAGAACCTGCTCAGCAGGCTGAGTCGATCACACTCAAAAGCAGTGCCCTGACAGACCGCATACTGGGTTACAACTCCCTCTTCTATAGGGTTTTACAGCCTTGATCTCATTCAGGCGGTCATGTTTCATTCTCACAATCCACATTGTTGATGTACAAATCATGGTGGCGAGACAGTTGAATTTCAACCCAGCTGTAGCACTTCTATGTTCTTAGGGGAGTTTACCTTTGAGATTAGTCTAGCTACTGCCCAGATGTAGCACTTTCTTGTTAGGGGAGTTTACCTTTAAGATTCCTCTGGCTATATATTCTAGCCCAGGAGAAGGGGCATTCCTGGTCAGGAAAACAAAGTTAAGGATGGTTCTTTTCATCTTTACAAAACTTTTGAGCTAGGGGTCTTGCTGTGCCATTATCTCAGGATGAGACTAGATGCCTCTGGTGTCTGTTGATTTTGAACTAAACAAAGCAAACTGCTGTTAGGGATGGCAGAAGTCATTTTACATTGTGACATCTCGTAGGTTTTGCTATTTATAAAAGTTTTCTCTATCACCGTCTGTATCAATTTAGCCCCTTGCCTTAGCCAGGTCTCCCGCTGCACCTGCCCCATCCCCAGGAGGAACAAGCCCAGCTGGCACAAGAGGAAGAGAAGAAACTGCCTGACCTCACCGTGGAGACCGCCCGCCCAGCCCGGACTCCACCCCAGACCTCCATGAGCAAAACCTTGCTCTTTGCCAGTCCCTGACCACATAACCCAGCTTACCCATCAAGGTTCTGCTCATGTGCACCCCACGTCCTTTCCCCCCTGCCCTGACGAGAGCTAGCTTTTGTGCAGTCTGGGAGGGGCTCTGTACTGTGGGCCTCTGGAGGCCCTGCAATGGGTCTTTTCCCTGGGGGCACCAAGGAGGACGCTGGGGGAGGAGATCCCAGTGCCTCTTCCTCACTTTTACTTTCTCTTCTGCCCTCGGGCAGAGTGCACTGGGCATGTTGGGTGGCAGGTGCCCACCAGGAGGCCCCAACCCTGCCATTTGGATTTCAAGCAGAGATAGCCCGACTTTGCTTTCAGGGGAGGCAGCACTGTGCAGGGGCCGGGTACGGTGGGGTCTGAGCTCAGCTCCCATTCTAGCCTGGTGGCTTGGAGCAAGCTGCTCACCCTCCTGGAGGGCCAGCATCCTCTGAATGGGAAGGGGATGCAGCCAACCCACTGTATAGGCTCAGTTCCCCCCACCCCATCCCCCGAAGCTGGGGATGGATCCCAGGGCTTCATGAATGCTAGGAAAGTTCTCAACCCCGAGCCCTTTGATCTAGAACTTGTGATCTCTCGCCTCCGTCCTGGCCTGTGGGGGTGCTTAGCACAGAGCCCTGGCCCCTGCAGTGACGCGGGTGATGAAAGACGCCCATCACTCTTGCTGCTTGGAAAGAGACCTGAGGGTGGCTCTGCTTCAGAGTGCCCTGTAGCCTTCAGGAAAGGCCTAGCTACCCCTGCCTGATGTAGACCCTGCCCCTCACTCCTGTACACAAGGTGGTGCCCCTCCACATTTCCCAGGAGCCCTTGCTCTTCATGCCTCTGCTTGTACTGTGATGCCTCATATAGCTGGGAAGGTTGTCCACTGCACAAGGGGCCTGGCTACAAAGGCAAGTTGGGAGCGGACTCTCAGTGTAGTTCTGTTCAACAATCTCCAAGCTCTGTTCTGGGACTGCATCCCTTATCCCTTTAATTCCCACCAGTGAGGGGAGGGTTACAGTCGCCTCCATGAACTGCCCTCTAATCTTCTACCCAGACAACTTCACGCTTCCTTCTCTCAGGGACTTAGCATCACCTCCCCAGGCAGGCCACCTGGCTTTTCCACAAGTTGCTAGTTGCAGCCCTGTCCTGAGCTTCTGCAGCCTCTGCACATCCCTCTGACCCCAGAGCAGTCAGCTCTGTCCTTCCCGTCCCCTGCCAGACTCTGGGTTCCCAGGTGGTCTCTGAATGGTAGAGTCACAGACAAGCCAGGTAAGGAGTGCTTTATTCTCACTGACTACAGGACAGGGCGGGCCTCAACAGCAGCAGCGGTGTCCCCTCCCAGCCCCAGTGCTTTCCTCCTTGGCCCTGGGAGGGCACCGGGCAGCAGCAGCAGCAGGTTCTGGGGGCAGGGAGTGGCATGTCAGTCCACTGGCTGGCGCCCATGCTCTCTGGGTGGTGTGGGTAAGGGCTGGGGCCTGGGCCTTGAGGCAGGGATATCCGGAGTGGCTCAGTCAGCTGTGAAGATGCGACTGGAGATGTCATCCAGCAGCCAGTCAATGCCTAGCAGCAGGTTCTCCCCGGTGACGGCACTGCAGCCCTGGATGCACCAGTGGTGGCTGTGGATAGAGTCCAGCTCCAGGGCCTGGGGACAGAGATGTGGTAGTGTCAGCTGCCATGGCTCCTGCCTGGGGTGCCCATCCCTTCCCTGGCCCTGGCGAGTGCCACTCCTCTAAGGTCATCTCATCCGGGCAGCCTCTGCCAGCCCCTTGTGAGGGTTCCTACCCACCGGGGCACTCAGGCTTTCCATGATTTCATGCCAGTGACCCTGGTAAGTAACACAGGCTCCCGAGTGACTGCAGGACCCAGGCATTGTGCCAGGACCCCACAAATGGCATCTCATCCACTCTACTGTACCATCTATGGATTGTATTGGCCATTGTACCAAGGGGGAAACCAAAGCTCAGAGAGGTTAAGCGACCTGCCTCAGGTCACACTGCCAGGAAGTGACAGAGCCACCATTCTAAACTGCTCTTTCTCATTCTAATGTTTGCCCATTGGAATAGAAATTAAGCTGAGGCTGCAGGGTTAGAGTGGATGGGTTTAAATCCTGACATGTCTACCTATTGGCTAGACCCCTTGGGCAAATCACCTAACCTGTGTCTTGACCACTGCACCATCTGTAAAATGATAGTTGTTCCTGCACCTCATGAGGCTGTGGTAAGAAGGAAACGAGCTCATCCAGCATCATGGGGAAGCACAGTGTTTGGGCTCCTGGCACCCTGTGGAACAATCTGTTTGCAGGCCCAGGTGTAGGCCACCACTGCAAGGTCACCCCTACACCTTGGCAACCACTGAAAACAGCGAGGACTAAGAAAGCCCTGGCAGTGCGTGGATAAAGAATCCCGTGCCCGGTTCCTCAGCAAGCCTGTCCCGGGGCCTGGCCTCACCTCTTGAATGGCATTAGAGGACAGCGCTCCGGGAAGGTCCTGCTTGTTGGCGAAGATGAGGAGGGTAGCTCCAGCCAGGCGCTGGGGAGAGAAGATGGGGCTCTGAGGGCAGCCTAGACCCTGTGACTGGCCCAGGGTATCTAAAGACCAGGCTGGAAGATCAGGGCAAGGCCGGAGTGGTGGGAGAGTCCCCGCAGGGTGGGCAGTGGGGACACCCAGTGAGGCCAGCCCCACCCAGTGGGCACTGCCCTCCTCCATGCCTGTTTCCCCTCCTGTGAGCAGGGGAGGGTACTGGGCAAGGTGGTCTGAGGCCTCTGCAGTTCGAGTCAGCTCAGGTCTGATGGCCTGGCATGCACAGGGGCACCAAGGTCCTGGCGCCCTTTCACTGTTCTGCCTCTGCTCCTATGACATCCACGTCTGTGTCTGAAGCCAGGAGTCCTTGGGCTGGGTGGGGTGATGCAGCCCTCAGGGTCTCCACCTGCCAGGCCTGGCTCACGACACCCCAGGAGGGGTACAGTCCGTGGTGCCTCGGCCCCGAGAGCTACTACTGGCTCCCTCCCTCTCAGTGAAATGTGATACAGTAAACGGAATCAAATCCTGGAACAATACACATCTGTGGAAAAACTGGTGAAATCCAAATAAGATCTGTAGTTAAAATAATAGTAATGAGCCAATATTGATTTCTTTGTTTTGGCAGGTACCCCAAGGATATGTGAGATGTTAGTATCAGGTAAGTAGGGTAAAGGGAATCACTGTACCTTTTCTGTGAATCCGAAATTTTACTTAAAGGGAAGTATTTTTGCCCAGACAATAAATTACAAAATCAGCTCAGCTGTAATTCCCATGGCAGAGATATGGTTAAGAGTGGTTAAGTGCCTTCTTGAGGTCACCCAGCAGAGTCAGAGATTTACAGACTGGCCATAAGTTAGCTCTCTGAAGGCTCCTGGTTTAGCCCCTCCTCTTTCCTTGCTCTTGTTTTTCTGTTTTGTTTTGCAGTCCTGGGGATTGAACCCAGGAGCACTGTGCTATGGCCTTAATCCTTCATATTTTTTATTTTGAGATGGGGTCTTGCTAAATTGCCCGGACTGGGTACAAACTTACAATCCTCCTGCCTCCGCCTCCCAGTGGCTAGGATTACCTGTATCACCTTATCAGTCTTGTCATCTCCATCCCAAGACAGACAAACTCAGGGTGGTGAAGCAGTGAAACCCAAGGGAGGAGAGGACATGAACCGGGGCTCACTTCACAGCACGGGCCCTGCCTGTGGTACTATGGGTCTAGTGAAGGGATGGATCCTGGATCCTGTCTTTTACTTTGTCTCAAGACAGGCTCTCACTATGTAGCCCAGGCTGGCCTCGAACTCACAATGCTCCTCCAGCCTCATGCTTACAATTACAGGCACGGTTATAGGCACGTGCCACTTCACTGGGTAAGAAACAAGAGCCTATCTTTGGTGTTCCTCTGAGGCCCTCTGGGAGGCGCAGCTGACGAGCCAAAGCAGGAAGCAGCCCCACCTCCAGGCCGCACCTCCTCCACCAGCAGGCCCTGCAGCTCCCTAGCGCAGTCCTGCAAGCGCTGCCGGTCAGCACTGTCCACCACCCAGATGAGGCCGTCCGTGCTCTCAAAGTAGTTCCTCCAGTAGGAGCGCAGTGACTTCTGGCCACCAACATCCCAGATGTTCAGTTTGAACCTGAGCAGGGCGGGAGGCAGGGTCAGCAAGCTCCTCTCCCACCCTGCCCATCCTGCCCACCCTGCCCAGGCAGTGCAAGGACTCCATCTTACCCCCGGTGCTCCAGGGTCTTGATGTTGAACCCCAGTGTCGGTGAGATGGTATCCACGTCTTCCCCATTGAACTTCTTGAGGATGGTGGTTTTGCCGGCATTGTCCAGGCCCCTGGGACCCGTGGGTTAAGGACAAGGCCCTGCTCTACTTCCAAAACTGCTATACAGATTCAAAGCAACCCAGATTGAAATCCCAGCAGTGTATTTCACAGAACTAGAGAGAACAATCCAAAAATTCATTTGGAACCAGAAGAGATCTAGAATAGCAAAAGCAATTCTAGGCAACAGAGACATGGCAGGGGCTATCACAATTCTCAACTTGAAACTATACTACAAAACCACTGTGATAAAAACAGCATGGTACTGGCAAAGAACAGACCCAAGGATCCATGGACTAGATTAGAGGATGCAAAAACAACTTCAGATATACTCAGCTACCTCATCTTTGACAAAGGAGCTAGCCATCCTCACTAGAGGAAAGATAGCCTCTTTAATAAATGGTGTTGGAAAAAGTGGATTTCAACTTGCCCAAGATTAAAACTAGACCCCTATCTCTCACCATGCACTAAACTAAAATCAAAGTGGATTAAAGATCTATATATTAAAATAGAAACACTAAACTTGCTGGAAGGTAAATTAGGTAGAACTCTTTTTTTTTTTTTTTTTTTTTTTACTGGGGATCGAACTTGAGTCCTTGCGCTTGTGAGGCAGGTGCCAGAACCACTGAGCTAAATCCCCAGCCCAAGTTAGGTAGAACTCTTGAAGACACTGGCACAGGAAAAGACTTTATCAGCAAATCCTCAGTAGCACAGGAACTAGCACAAAGAATCAATAACCGGGATCTCATCTTATTAAAAAGCTTCTGCACTGCAAGAGAAACCAACAGAGTAAAGAGACAACCTACAATGTGGGAAAAAATTTTTACCAGCTGTTCTTCAGACAAAGGTTTACTATCTAGAATATATAAAGAACTAAAAAAAATCAGATCCCCCCAAATATAGACACAATTAAAAAATGGGCATCTGAAATGAACAGACATTTCTCAAAGAAGTAAAAGCAGCAAATAAACGTATAAAAAATGTTCAACATCATTGGTCATTAGAGAGATGCAGATGAAAACAACGTTGAGATTCCTCCACCTCACCCCAGAAAAAACGGCTACTATCATGAAATCAACCAATAACAAATGCTGGTGGGGCTGTGGGGAGAAAGGAACCCTTCTTGATTGTTGGTGGGAGGGCAGACTGGTGCAACTGCTGTGGAAATCAATATGGAGATACCTCAAACAACTAGGACTAGAAATCCCATTTGACCCAGCTATTCCTCTGCTGAGTATCTTCCCCCCAAAATTAAAAGAATCATATCAGTGACATATTTTGCGATAAGTGGGTTTTGCGTTGGTTTGGGCATTCATCTCTCAAAGGTTCACCGTCACTGCCCTAGCGGCATTCCCATGACCAAAACAGAGCTCAAAGCTGTCACCTTCCCCTGCTCTCCCCCTACTCTCTCCTTCTCCATTATAGCAAGTGGCTGCTTGTCCTTCTAACAGTTGAGACCAGAAACTCAAGTGTCATCTTGGCTTCTCTGCACCTCCACACTCACCTCCAATCTGGCAGCAACTCCCCGTGGCCCTACTCTCATCAGTGTCCACTCCCATCCTAGTCCAAACCACCACCCTACCTCAGCTGCACTGGTACAACTGTAACTGGTCGCAATCACTGCTTCCCCTCTGTTCTTCTCACTCAACGGGAATGCCAAGGACCCAAACTTCTAGCGAGGTGGCTTGCTGTCAGCTCTCCTCTCCACCCCCTCCAGCCACACTCTACACTGCCTTGAAGACGGCCAGTCGCGTCCCCTCCTTTAGGGCCTTTGCACTGTATTTGCTCTAAACAGCTTGTCCCTAGGTTTACACATGATCAGCCCTCGTATCTTTACCTAATGGTCACTTTCTTACTGTGGCCTTCTTTGACCACCCTGAATCACATTCTTCTCACTCTACTCCACTCATTTGCTTCATTATCTTGCTCTTCTTCCTCCTGCCCTCCGTTACAGTATTTCCACAAAGGTAGGGTGACGCTGTTTTTACTCCAGTACCCAGCACAGTGCCTGCCTAGCACACAGTGGGCGCTCAACTAATATCTACGGCACGAGTGGCTTCTCTGGGCTCTTCTCAGAGCTCCTTGAAGACAGACACTAAGCGCACGTAAGGTCTTCTCTCCCTAGGCCAGCGCGGGCGGCCGGACCCAGCTCTTAAAGAGTGCAGCGCCGGCAACAGGGCTGGACAAGCGGGGTCCTCCGCCGAGGCAGCACCGAGTGGCAGCCGGGCAGCAGGGACAGGCGG